TGTCAATGAGTCCCGCTAATTCTTCACCTTATTTGTCTTGTTTACATGAAGAATATCCCGGCTCCATTAAAATTTTCTCATCATGCAAGACTGCATAAATATGTGACAACAGAATGTCACTTGTAGTGATAAAAGATGGCATATTCCCATCTTTTGTCTTTAGTCATGATTATACAAACCCAAAAGACGACACTTTCAAGAAACCACATTATTAATACTCCAAATGAACAAAAATCAATGATAAGAAAACACATGGACACCAGACTCCACAAGACTGAAAACTAAGCCACATCAGTAACATTTGAAGAATGGAACTAGCACTGGATTTTGCATGATGACCCCCTGGGGCATCACAGCAACAAAGTTATGCAAAGCTTCATACAACTGAAGGGGTCCTCTGAAGGCTCTGCTTACTGATCTCTGGCAGAAAAGGTCACAGGCTATGCTGGAAGGATTTTCAGCAAAAGCAAGAAACAGTTGGAAGGAATGAAGAAATATTTCACAGGCAATAATAAAAATTTCATAGGGTTTGCATGGGAAGCTGTATAACTAATTTGTTTGTAAAACTGTCCAAGACTTAAGCTCAGTCAAATTATATTCTTCTACAGCATTTGAATTTTAGAATGATCATTAGCTACTCAGTAACATACATATACACAGTGCTTTATTTAGCTTGTTAAAGAAGAAAATGAAGCACTTCAGTATAAACTCACAAAATTATTATTCAAAGAAAGAAAAAGCAGACAGGAGTTAAAAACAATAAAAAACCAGAAAATATTTCGTACTGATAAAAAACTGTGCTCTCCTCTCTGGGACTCTAATTAGGTCTTTCCCCTTTGAGAAAGAGCATAGTCTCTCCTTTTCTTTATTACTCTTATGGAAGCATTCAGGAATTCAGAGGAATACTTAAATACATATTCATAAAAATAATCGAGAAAATATTCAGCATTTTGGAATAGTGGATAAATCCTGAATTGTCTCCACTTGATTCATGTTTCCATCAATCTCCACTCTAAGGTCACACAGGCTCGCACTCCATTTTGAAGCATCGATCAGAGTATCTCATTTTCACTGTCAAAGCTTTTGAAACTTCTGACTGTGTTTCAGCATTGCACTGGATATACTAATGTTTCGCAGATGAAAAAATAGGCATAAATAATTCTTTAAGCTGCTTCTTTTCACAAATGTAGCTACCAGTTCAAAACGATAAACCAACTACAGAAAGCATGTGTGATAAGCACATGATTTGAAGCTCTTGCCAGCAGTCTCCCACAGCAGGCTGGTGGTAATCATTCACTTTTCATCACTGTTTCATTCCACGCTTAGTATGAGTGCTTTGCTACCCTTTTCTAGTTGCACATTCTGTACAAAATCTGAAGTTATGTTCTCACTTATCTGGGATTTGTCAGTGCAAATATCCTACTGCTAGTGATTTGAAGAGTTGAAATGAACTACAGTTCTTGATTTTTTTTTTTTTTTTTGCAATGAATTTTATGTTTTCCTCTCCAGCCTCACTGATTATTTTCCTTCATATCAGAATGACAGTACTGAAAATTATCCCAGTCAGGAGCCAGCTCCAGCAGCAGGCAAAGTAGGCAGCAGCCTAGGGCAGCCGACAGCTTGTTTGTTCTGTATCAGAAAAGAGATGGACTGGCTGTGCTTGCCCAGATTGTCAGTAGCCTCTACTTACATGACTTTGCCCATTGCTGCCAAAGGACTGAGGGGGAAAGGAGAACATTCAACCTCCACCCCATCACCCTGGCAGGTCCCTATCAGGGAATAGCGATGAGTGCTGGAAGAAGTCGTGGGGCAAGAGGAGGCAGATGACTGCGTGGGACAAGGGATGTGGTAGCCATAAAAGTAAGAAAGATCTTAGGAGGACTGGACACAGGCCAGGATAGGAAAGAAAAAAAAGAGACACTTTAAGTCTTCTGAAACTTGGGGATGCCTCCCTGCCTGTAACAGTATTTCCTAGGCTCTCTTCCACCCATGTAATTTTCTGATTAGCACTGCCAAGCCCTCTTAGTTCCCTCTGCCACCAACCGAGAAAAAAAAAAAAAAAAAGCAATATTGCTACTGTCAAGAAAACCTGATTTGGCTCTAACAGAAAAATTAAACTGTGGAATAAAGGATCTCCCACTCCATAGGCAGCTTCCTTCCTCTTCTTTAATATTTGCCCATAATTTGTTAATTTCATGCTTGTCTAATTTAATATTCTCCTCTGTTGCCTCAAACTACATCTCTATATATGCTCACAAACTACATGTCTCTATATGCTCATAATCATACTGCATGCCAATGTCTCATTGTTACTCCTGACAGAAATGGAAAACAGTGTAACTCAGAAGACCACAAGGACTAGATAGATTTTAGACCTCTAGCAGCCATGCCCCTTCAAGTTACACTGTTTTCTGTCTTTCTGTCTTTCTCCCATATTCAATCAGCTCACACCTATTGAGCCTGAAATCAGCTAAATCAGTTTACAACCTCAGAGCAGGTCCCAGCATTACCACTTTTTGTAGAAACATTTCAGCTGTTCTCGTACTGATTCCACCTATTCTGGAACTTTCTTTTCACAAAGTTTCTGCTTTGATGGGTAGAAAAATCAACAAATCTGTTATTAACTTCTAGCAGATGTATCTATACACAATGTATACCTTCTGATTGGTTTTACAAGCTTTACCTTAACCTGTAACCCTCAGTATGTAATAAGTAAACTGTGAACTGACAGTGAACCATCCCTATCATGCTTTGTCCACCATATCTGGAAATAGCTAGAGAGAAACAAAACCCTTAATATCTACAAACAGTTTTCTGGAAGGAGAATGACTGTGTCTAAGATTCAAAAATTTGTGTATTCTAGCTGATTTAGGGAGATTTGAAGATCCATACCAATGACATCAGGGGGTAATCAAGCATTTAAAACAGAAGCTAACAAGCTCAAGGGTGAAGAAAAAGAGACACCATCAGAAGAAATAAGAACCTTGACTGTGACAGTAGACAAAGGTTGGAGGCACTCATTAAAGGGAACAGTATGAGAGCAATTCTGAGTTTTAAGAGAAAGCATAGCGTGGAGATGTGCCCTCCATGAGAAAGCCTTGCGACTCCCATGGGACCCCAAGCCACTCAAGAATGCCCCAAAAGGTCCAAAAATGAGCAGGGGATGTTGCATACCCACTTGCTTCAATGCGTATATCTGTGTGTCTTTTACAGTACTGTTGCTTTTAGAAGTTCCTCACATACCACATCCAAATAAGACTGAGCATTCCCATGCCCTGGAGAAGGAACACAGCCAGGGACTGTGACAAGTGAATTTACATCTTGTCCCACATACTTACAAGTTCTGCAAAGCTGTCTGAATATGTTACTGGAGTAGGCTGCTGGCTTACCTGCCAAGGAAATTTGTTGCAACTAGGAGAAAGTCCACCAAACAAGATCTCCTCCTCCTCCCAACCCCAGAAGAGGAAGACAAAACTCTGCTTATAATTTTGCCTAACAGTCTGTATTTGTGGTCTGAATGGAAGAGAAACTACCATCCCAACTCTGTTGAAGATATTTTCTCAGATACTGTAACAACTGCAATTTTTAAATTGTCTTTCACAAGGCACACTATGGTGCCAGTAAAACTCCAACACACTGTCTGGAAAGTTATCTACAAAAGATTCCAAATGACATTTTAACAGAGAAAAAAGTGTCTGAAGTCAGTATGTAAGGTCAAACAAATCAACCAAAAAACACACTATTTTCTTCCTCTCTGCCACTCTGACTGGTTCAACTGCAGATGGCATGATGTCATACCCCTTCAAGTCAGGTTGCTGGCTGCCTTCCTCAAAAATTAATTGAAAGAAATGGATCCTACAATTTAAAATGAAATAGGCTCAGCAGGTGAGTAAGCATTGTCAAGATTGATTACTGAGTATTGATTTTCCACCAATCGTACAAGTTACACTCCACAAGGCCACCTGCACATTAACCTAGAATACACAAAATCACCTCAGGCTAACATCTATTGAGAGGTTTGTATTTTCAGAGGATGCAGGAAAGAACACAACGCTGCAGTCTGTAGCTCTTTTTCTCACACATACATTCAACGGCATTTATTTGGACAAGATTCACACTTTCTACTTAATTTACCATAAATAACTATTATTTCTATTTTCTTTTTTTTCAGAAAGAATTTAAGATAAGTACCCCAGAAAAAACCTCATATAACCTTGTGCTAACTTAATTGTAAAAACTGTGAAGGTACTCAGTTAGGCTCTCCCATGAGATGAAGGAAAGAGATGCTGGATGCAGTGACAGCAGAGAGGCTTACTGTGGCCTAGAAGCTTCTGCTTGGTCTGTCTGAAGCTTCTCACCCCCTTCCACTTCCATGGTGCAGTAGACAATTCGATTGGGAGCGACTGACTTTAAACCTTGCACCTCCATTATAACAATCTGAGGAAAAGAAAACAAATAGCTTATCCTTCAGAAAACTTTACATAGCACAGCTATTCCAGTACTAAGCTCCATGCAGGTTAAAAAAAAACAAATAAAATCACCAAACCCACTCACTCAAATCTTCACAGACAGAGAAGAGTTTTAATTTTGCCTTCTTTTTCCACTTTCAACAACACATAGTAGGAATTAAAATTTTTGCTCTGTTCCTATTTAGACAATGACCAAAAATTCACTCCAACCATAATTTACATGCTAGTAGTTGAATTTGAGACTACTGTCTAAATATAATTCTGTTAATACATGAAGAAATGTATCTTTTAAGCAGTCATCTAAATAAGTATTTATAGAATGAACAGGCTACTAAGTCAGACTGTAAACAAGACAAGCAAGTCGACTGGTCACATTTTGAAAGGTTAATCGTGGTGCTGCGACACTGGAGGCTGCAACCCTTGAATCTCAGAAGCAATCTGGTGTGCCGAGCATGAGGAAGGTCAGAACATCGCTATCAGCTGCTGTAATTTTTTTCCCCTGCGACCTATCCTTTCTCCTTCTCCCAGCTCACTACTTGCAGTCAGGTTTGGCGCGCTATGGGGATGTGGAGGGGAAAGAGAGAGGCAAAAAGCCTCTGCCAGCTGATAAATTTCCTCACCACAGAAGTTCTGTGCTTGGCAGATCCTGTACTTTTTCAGCTCCTCAGTTATAGCTTAGAAGAGCCAAATGCAGTATTACTTCAACACTTTCCGCCTTTTATAAACTTTACGGTTTGTCACTGTGTGAAAGGATTGGAATTTTTACATGTTAGATGTTTCTAATTCAGAGAAGATTTGGGAAGAAAGTCAGGTTGCCCTGCTTGCTTTGGAAAAGCTGCTTCCCTTTCCAGTCCCATTTGGGCCTATGAGAAGAACCTGGGAGAAATGTAGTCCCTCTGATCAGCAGAGCAGCTGTCCTCAACTGAACTACACATGAAAACAGATATATGTTTGATTGTCTTAAAGGCAACAAAAGTAATGGCTACTTTTGGTCTCATTAGAGGTAACTGGTTTCTTAGGTCAACAAGCAACTACTAAAATATTTTGTTACTAAACTGTTTGCATATTTGCCAATTTGTTTTAATTCAAGAATGTTAAACCAGACTTCATGCCTAGCTGTAAAATCCTTTGTACTTCAAAACTCCCAAAACCTTAGTAAGAGTTAGGTGTTTTGTAAAATTGCTAGTTTGCTAATATTGCAGTGAGATGACAGTCATTGATCGTTTAGAACATTTTTACATTACTCACAAATTATCCACACTGCCTATTACCCTTTATAAATAATAACAGCATTTCAGGGAGAATCATCATGACGTAATCATCTCTCTTTTCCATCTTTTGTGGTCCAGGAATTCAAGCAGTTATCAAAGTGATCAATGATCTCTGAGAGACTGCACTAGCGATCCTTCTAGCTAATACTGCCTATATGGTCTTTCCACATGCCAAACGTATGCCCTTGGTGAATGCAGACTTCATGTTTATTGATTTTTATGTTGATACTTCTTTTCCTAGAGTTTCCAATTTAATTGCAAAGTACATTTGCCTTTAGTAGCAATTCTGGATTCCAGCAATGGAAAAAAGTTGATTTTCATTAGGAAGGAAACTGTCAGTAGCTGATTTACTAGCTCATTAACTAATAAACAGCTTCCTAAATATTGCTTGTCTATTTCTGAAACTGTCCAACAGCTGAAGAACCTAAGAGATTAAGTCTTCTCCTACTACTTTAATATTTTATTTATTTTACAAATTTCTGCAAACAGGCTATTTGAGGAAACACGCAACTCACAAAAACAGTCACTGTTGCTTGCAGTGACACGCAGGGTTGTCTCTTATCTCAGCCAGTAAAGTCCATTCCCACCAGAACATTATAAATGTTACTAACATCTTGTGCTGTTCTGTCTCAATAACATGCAGTGGCAGCATGAACCACAGCCACTTTCCCCCCTTCATTAAATATTCATCGAGGTTTTACACTCTGTCCTGGTATTTAGATATGTCATATATTTCTTGCTTGTTCATGTGCCTGTGCAGCAGCCCTCAGTGGGGATTTTGCTGGTTACTCCAAATTTTAGTTGTCACACCACAAGAGACATTACATGGATATGTTTATGTGTTATTCAAGAAAAGTGAAATCAAAATTGTGCACATATGACCTCACATTTACCAAAAATAAAGTATCCTGTCTCCAAGGAAATGCAATCAACTTTTCTTATTTGCCCATTTGCATAGAAAAAGAGCAGATCTTCCATGTTTCAGCCTAAATGAATGTCAGTTCAGCTGTTTCCTTTTGCCCTTATATCCTCTGAGATTTAAGCTTCCCAAAAGTAAGATATGCACACACTTGTCCAGCAAGAAACTCAACTTACATGGTTAACACCGTGTTTTAAATGGAAATTTGCCCTACTAAAAACCGCTATGTCTAGAGTAACACTTTCATTCTTTTCCTTGCACAGGATAAACTAGCTTTGCAGAACATCGGTGTGTTTTCTTTATCGGTGATGGGGAGAGGAAAAAAAGCTAAGTTCACCAGACCTAACAGTCTACATTTCTTCTGTGAGAGGGGAAGGGCTGTAAACAAAGCAAAACTGTTTCAAATTTACTAGAAATTGTATCTCCTGTTTCATTCATCATTGTTTCTATCTTTTACTGTGCTTTTCCCCCAAATATCACATCAGTTTTAGTACTTAATATTTCTCTCTAGAGGTAAAGAGAAAGCTTTTCTTCTTCTTACATCCCTCACCAAGCAAACTTTCTTGAAATAGAAAACATTATTGACAAACTTTTCCAGGTATTTTTTAGGTACTTCAGAAATGTTCTTTGTTACTGCTCTTTGTGGACCATTCCAGGCTTGGAATGTCCACTCGAGGCAGACACAGGACACGTGGTGGAGATACACAGGATTCAGTACAGGAGCTATAAAACTACTTTATCACTTAATGTACTTCAGTACTAAAGTCTGCACTCCAGTTTTATGTGCTTGATGAACCAATACTTTTTGGTGTATAGAATGATGGATCTTACTACTCTTTAAAAAATAATGTTGGGGTTTTACATTATTAACTAGTAATGTTAAAATTGCATACAGTGGTATAAGTAATTTCTCTGTTCCTGACAACAACAGTGTTTCATTATGATGTTCGAAAGTATACTCCGGTACTTAATGTACTGGAATTCATTTAAAGTTACATTTGTATGGAAGATTTAACTGCCCACACTGCTGTGTGGACCCAAATGCAACTACTGCTGCAAGAGTAAAATGCATCATACAGCTGTATTCTAACTCCTAATTATCAAAGAGACAAAGAATAATTTACTTCTTTAACATAAAATTTTAAAATTACAAAGGAAGGACTAATAACAAAAAAGTATTGAGACATAAATGCTGTAGTAATTTAAACTGTCAACAAGTTTTCTGTGAAATATGTGATTACCTCTAACGTGAAGGAAAGGACCACATCAGACTTTGACAGCTGAACCTCATTTTCATCTCCTATGTCCAGGAATGCAGAATTCTGTGATCGCTTTAACTTCTGCAGTTTAAATTCTGGCCCACCTTTAGACACGGGAAGACTTTCCAAATTTGCCATCAGCAAATTCACTGAAGACCGCAACTCTTCTATGTACAAGTTCTCCATTTCTCTTGTTACAAATTTGGGGAATTTTCTTTCCTTGGAAGATATATTTCAAAAGTTAGGGAGGAAAAAAATCATCCTACATTATACGTCATGTTAACGTTCTGATCTGGTCTCAGTTAAGAGATAGTTAATAAAAATATGTCTTAACTCCAGTGTCTATCTATTTTTATATCTTCAAAACAGTAATAGGAAGGCTAATCCTGTCCCATAAATCCAGTTAATTTTGACAAGAAGAAATGTAATTTTAATTGAGAATATGGAACCTCTTGCCCCCTCAGAGTCATTAGCTATAAACCCAAGCTGAATATGTACACATTAGATATTTCTAATACACATTTTAAGCATATCAACTGACAATATAACTCTAATGTTACCTTCAGATATATTAAAAATTGTCAAAATTGGACAAAAACCGTCCACTAATAATCGTGCTACTTCATCCATTTCCCATATTACCAAAAATGTCAATCACATTCATGCTTCTAACATAAAGCTGTTAAACTATAACCACAACATGAAATTCCTATAATTGTTTTTTCTATTTTTAATAATAGAAATTTTTACTATTTCTATTTTTAATTCATTTTTAAAGTAATGCTAAATTATTCCAGATGGGATTATTTTGAACATATGTGTTAGAGAGAACTTAAAAACCACTTTTTTCCTCTTTAGGAGTTCGATAATAATTTTCAAATATTGTGTTTATAATGAAGAGGGAACATATAAACATATATAATGCATATATGAACACATACAGAGCCAATTTTATGGCCAGTTTCTCCCTTGATATTGAATATAGGGCAGCTTGGGAGAATAAGTCACTCAAAATTAAAGAATAATGTAAATTATTCTAAAATACATGCTTTACATATGAGAAGCAAACACTGCTCCCTAGGTATTGTCTGCAAAGGTAGGCACCTTGCTCCTAAACCAGACAATTTTTATCGTTAGCTGTTATAAGGAGTATCATAAAATGTTTTACATTAACATAAACCTTAACAGTTGGTTTTGTTTCAATAACAAAGAGCAAGCAAGCTGACTGTGACCCAAAACACCTGCAGCAAGCCTAGTAGTCTGGCTCATTACAGCATTACAGAGCGAGTATATTACAGATTGAAAAAGAAAAAAAAATTTAAAAAGTAATTTATAGATAGAAACTAAAAGCACAGGGTAAGATTCAGGATGCTTTTGCCAAAACCCCCCACTCTAGAGTGTTTTTCAAACTATCCCTTTTCCTGTGAGGATTTTTCAAATAATAATATGCCAACACAGGAGACAGAAGGCAGACTGTTATGTTGTTAAAAGATTTTTCCTCTTGTTAAGATGCTTTTTCCACCCCAGTGTAAAAAGCGAGGAAAGTTTTTACAATTACTCTTGCTGCATATTTTTTATTACTATAAACTTCCATGATTTAAGACAGCACTATCAGAATATATGGAGGCCTTTATTTCTGTAAAACCTAAATGTCTGTAGCCACTTCTCTCCCTCACAAAACAAGGGTGAGGATCCTCCATAACAACTCTGAGGTCTACAAACTTCATCCCTCCCACTCCCCCTCACCTTTTATTTGCCTTGTTAAGACAGTGAATTTGTAACAAATTGCTATAGCACATAATATTTATAACATTTAGAGACACAAAAAGAATAGTCAGGATTTTCCAGTATTTTTAGAGCATGTGCACAGGAATGTAATTTAGTTGATTTGAAAAGCCTGGATTGTCCGAAGAACACATCCCCCAGCACAGCACTGGAATGTTGGAAACTCTGATTGCAACACAGTGGAGTATATCCTGAAACAAAGACCCTCAGGTTGATGTACACATTAGCCTTTAGGTCTGGATTCTAAGAGTGCTAAAATGGATTTTCAGGGTGCATTTCTCAATGGGTGGTGTCCTCTTAGGATCACATAAAAAGCATAGCACCAGTTACAATAGAAGATTCCATTAGGTCATGCACACTTTGATTTCAACTACTTTAAATTTAGTGATATGAACAAATAAATGGGCAAACAGACGTACAAATTCTCCATTGATTTTATTCTGACACAGATTAATGTATTTCTAAGGTTCTTACCTCCATTAAATAGGCAAAACTTTATTTTCTGATAAAATAAACTTCTCATATTTAATTAACAGCTCGTAAAATCATCAAGTAATATATTACAGGAACCATGAATGAGCCCTCAACAGCAACAAAAAAAGCTATTTTTGAGACTGCAGTTTAATAATTCTCTTACAGGCAGGTAATCACTGAAAACCCTTTTCTTTACCAACAAAGATGCTAGAATACACAATCCACTATAAAAAAGCTTTTTACCTTGTTTTTGAGCTCTGAGAATAAAGATGGTATTGAGCAGCACTTGATTGTTTAGGCTTAAATGATCTTAATAATTCTCACAGCTGCTAGAATTAGGACTACCTCTCAAAATCCACCACAAAGAAATATCTGCATTTTAAGTAGTTTAAGAGAGATGCATGGAAACTCTGATTTGTGGTTCGATTGTACCATGTAGTGCTTATAATTTTCACTTGTTTTAAAATAAATTTGAAACTTCTATGGACAGCATTTTGCTTTTTAGGAAAACAACTATAATCTATGAACTTCATAGACCTAGATTATGTCTTTTTCTTTTTAAAGAAACAAGTAAATCTTAGCTGTTTTACAATTAGTATCATATTTATATAATATACATTCTTCTGAAAACACACAGTACAACATGCGTGCTTTCGATATTTTGTAAGTTGTGGAGCTAAAGGCGAGAATGCAACAGAGTAAACATAGGATTATTGGACAACTTTGATCATAAACCCAGGCTTCACAGAAGACTGAAGAGACTTGAGATTGCCTTTCTGTGAAAATGGAGTCTTTCTTCAAACTCTAATAAGTTAAGGCTGGGTACAACAGGAATCCCACCTGTGATATTTAATATAGCAGGGCATAAAGGTATCCACTGAAAGAAAATGCAAGCTATAGGAGAGAAAAATGGGCTTGGCTTTCTAAAATTTACGAAAAGAATTTATAATTTACCCAGTCATCACTGATTTGGCCTGCAAGACTCAGTCATAGTTTCTTGCTTGCAATACTAATATAACCATTACAAACTTAAGACTTAATTTGTAAATGTAAACTATATTACATATACTTAAAAAGCATATCACATATAACCTGTAGTAAGACATAAACATTATTGTTACACCATAAGCACAGCATAATGCACTTGTGTGTACAAAAGATGACTCATTTTAGTTCCGAAATACATAAACCCAAATGTGCAAATAATATACCCTTTGTTTCACCACTGGACTTGCTGATGAAGGAAACGGAGGATCACACAGCATATGAATTTCCAAAAACAAGGTTTGTTTTCTAACCTACCCCTGTTGACACAGATACTCCAGAGCAGAAAGAACTGCACCTTCCAGCCTGTTTTCATATGATCTTCTGCTTAATTTTTGAATCAGGAACTGGAAACACACACAGTATGTATCATCCCACTCAAATCTCATATGAAGATATGTTTTTGGTACGTGAAAGCAATCACTTACCCTTGCCATTTGTTCTGCCAGTTGTAGTCGCCCATCTAGTTCACGTCTGATCTGGGCTGCTTGCTCATCTCCATTATCCAACTTGGACAGAGAATAAAAATAAAACTAATTGTGAGAAATGTACTACATTTTAGCTTTATAGCAAGTAATGTTGCTAAAAACAAAACAGAAATGAATCGTATATTTTTTGTCTTAAAATCAATGAAGCACTAAGCAAATACATGGGTTTTAGTCTTACCAAGATGACAAACATGTAATGACTAGCAGTTACCCATGGCAGCCAGGGTCGCCGAAGGGTAGCCAGCATTCCCCTGAGTTTTTAATATTCGAGCTAAACAGAAGAAGCATTATTTCCTTATGAAAATAGCCATTGAAAACATTTCTCCATGAAGCAGAAAACTGGACTGACAGACTGGTTTAGAAAATGTTTGCAAGCAGATTTGCTCTTTAGTGCCATGAGTTCCTGTACAGGAATATATAGGTATAGCAAAAGAAAACTGTGTGCCTATGCCTTCTAAGTGTGGTATTATTTCACTCATATACCTCTTCTGCCCAAATATTGGCTAACTGCTCACATCAAAGCATATCCAGTTTTTGAGCCCCCAATGTTTTCATACCTAGGGAATAGTCATGACTAAACCTCTAACATCACTCAGGGAGGTAAAGGGGAAGGCCACATCTCTTCATCTCAACAAAAGAGTCAGATCTCAATAGAAAAGGCATTCCTCAACAAGTTTTTCACCTGTTTACTTCTTCGGGGCGGTGAAGGGGGAGTGTAGGTGAAGTGGGGCTTCACCTCAACACACAGACCTGCATGGCTGGTTAAGAGGAAGAAGTGTGATGTACCTGGAAAAGATCAGGCACAACTTGCCTTCTTACCTGAATAAATGCCAAACAAGGGCAAAGGTGTAGTCCCAGTGGAGGGCTCTCTCTGTCCCTAGGGCTAACCACAGACACAATGAGACACACTGATACAGCCCTAGCGTATTTAGTATGCAACTAAGGTTTAAAGATACCTGAATTGCTCTTCACTAAAAAAAAACTTAAATTGATTCGACATGTACACTGGCAAAAATTGGTTCTCTAATTAAATGCAATCTTCAGCTAAAGAATGCACAATTACTTTGGTAAATGATTGATTACATTAAACTAAACTATTTAAGTAAGGCTGCTATTCAGTGCATCAGGCCAAATACATAACACCATCTCCTTTGCAATGCTCCTCAGTTAAATCCAGTAGATCTTATTGAACAAAGGTGGTCTTGAAAATTAGGCATTTTTTTCTTTCAAAATCCAATTTTAAAAAGCAATAACTAAAAATACACTATCTAGTGCTTACTGATCAGTTACAACATTATGTATAATGCAAATCTGACCACATTTAGCAGCAGGATCAAAAGTTTTCCACTGCTAGTACGGAAGCGATGACAGAACATGCAATCTGTCACCTGTGCAATCTGGCATCTCACAAGAGCCTTGCAGGAATTGATCCAGACTACCCGAAAGCAAGAGAACAAAACCTGATGGAGTCCCCAAAAGAGGCTCAGTTTAAACTATAGAGAAGATGGATCATGTTCCAAACTAGAAGGCTCCTCCCACTAAATGTGTCTGTAAATCTGTTCCTAGTTTGACTTTAAACATAAATGGCAAGAGTGTTCTCAATGAAAGCAAATATCTTAGATTTTGCAGAATACACTTACAGTATTTCAAATAAATTCACAAATTGGTATTCTTCCATTTCTTAACAGAATAAGAGACTGCTTATTGAACTTGTCACCAAGCATATTCCTAACTTCTATTTTCCTTTGTATTATAACCATATAATTTTTGCAATTATTTTTGTTTAATCAGTATGAAAATCAGTTTAATATGAAATACAATTTTGTTTTCCTTTTTGGGCTATGAAAAGGTCAACATTATTTTAATAATATATCCCAACAGAAGCAATTGCTTGAAAAAAAGCTGTTTGAAGGTAATTTTGATGACTGAATTTTGATTTCTGCAAAAAGGAGGGCGTGGGAGAGCAGAATGAAGCTAAAACTTTTTCCTGTGTCAAGGCACAACTTAAATGACTGCCTCTGTTATTAACTTGCTTGAAGAGGCAAAACCTTTTGTTTAAAGAGTGATATTTAGCTATTTCTCCATTTTAAAAAAACCACATGAAATGATAATTTAAGTTGACGAAGGTATAACTTCATTTTGTAAATCTTAGCCTTTTTTCCTTACCTATATATTGGTTCCCATTAACTGTTTGTACTTGACTACTTAAAAAATGTGCCTATTTCCCTACTTACTTATTTTTAAACTTCAGTCTTCTTCCTGAAATATTCATACACTTTAATGGTTTTGTTAGAGTATGCATGTAATGATGCTTTGTAAGTTATGGAAAGAAGCCGAAGAGGTGAAACACCAAAGAATACTGCTTTACTTATAGAAAAGAGCCAATATAAGAATGACTGGTAGGTCATTTGCAGCTGTGCTAACAAGACGTCAAGTTATTGATATTAGTATTTTTGCAAAATGAAGTGACAGTGAGAAAAAACAGTAGCGTTGATATCCTGTTCCATGCAAGGTCATTCTACTTTTTTTTATATTCTAAATTCAACAAAATGCATGAAAAACAACTTTGCAAGCAAAGCAGTCAGCTATTATGAATGTGTAATCAATCGTACTTTACATTGCTACTGAATCTGAAGTAACGACAACAGTAAGACTGAGTAAATTCTGAAAATGCAGGTAGCATTTGGAATTTGTGAGTTGTATCCACTTTTTTTTACATAGGGAAGACACTCCATACAACCCACCATATGGACGGGAAGCAGTGACAAGGGTTAACATTAAGTGTAGCCTTTTCCTTAATTCCTTATTCATGGATCAAACCTGTAGCCAAAACATCTGTGGAACACACAGTTTTGACAGCCATTGTAGTAATTTTCAAACTGTAAATAAAAAAACTCTGTCACTATGTACAGAAATGAATATAAATGTAACATTGCAGAGAAACAAGTCAGATTCTTCTCAGTATTGCAACTGAAATTTGGTTTAAAAAAATCACTAAATGATAATCACTTAAAATTCAAGTTAATGTGGCTCCCTTTTTTTAAAAAAAACAAAGCTATAACTGGCATTTACATGGCATTACATAATGCTTCCCACACTTAAATATGAAGGCATATGTTTTAAAAACAGCTATAGACTTAGAGATTATTTTAAAAGAGGGTGCATATAAATTCAACTTAATAAAAAACATTTCAGCTTTCTACAATGGTAGCAATTACACAGCATAGCTATTTATTGACTACACCGACAACACAGATGCTCCTCATGTCGCTTAAACCTCACATAACCAATTAGTCAGTATTTTAGCAGCAGGGAACCTCACTACAGAACACCGTACAGACAACAAAGACCTGTTTTCCATGTAAAATACATTAGAAATCCCAACCAAACAAATCAGTGTTTCCCCTAAATGCCATATATCTGGCCCCCAAAACTTGTAACACCTAGGCAAAGAGTCTGACTCATCTTTTGTGGGTTAGTTAATTCAGGAAAATTCCACACTGGACAAGACTATGAATAGGACAGCTGTGTTACTTGTGCCCTTTATTTTTGCAAAGATGATTATTTGTATTTTAAAATCTTCTTCAAAAGAATCAGTAGTTATGAATGACTATGCTTGGGTGAATAAGAAGCCACTTTTTATTCAAAAAAAAAGAGGTAGCTCATAATCTTTTTTTTTTCCCCAATCTTGTTGTATAAACACAGCTTTCTAAAATAAACCTGCCACTGTTGGACAAAAACCTACTAATTCTAAAATATTTTATTCATTAATGCTTGAATTTGCCTTTATTTTTTCTCACTCTGAAAAGGGCAATGATTTTTATTACAAACTTATTTATTTGTAGAGATGGAGTGGGAACAGTCCTCAATACACAAGTTGTCCAACAATTCTTATTAGAGGATTTTTTCAGTTGCTTACATAACTGTCGACTTCTAAAAGACAGACTAAAGTTTTCTACTCCAAACTTCTGCTTTAACAATTTCAACCAAAACACTCCATTGCTTCTGAAGAGGGCAGGGAAGACAATACACTGCTTTATCCATAAGAAAAACGGTGACCATCTTGTCAAAGAGATCTAGCACCATCTTGCTTCGAAGTAAGGATCTGAAATTTAGATGGGCACCGTCTGTGAAAATTAGCTCAACTCTGGCCAAGTTATGAGCCTTTGAAAAACGAACTTTGCAGCAGTCAGGCTGCAAACAGACGCTACCAGAGGCTAAATCAGATTCACCATTCAGACTCATTTTCAGGTCGTGCTGCTCTCTGACTTGAATATGCATGGAGTTTATGCTCCTCAGAATATCTGGGCATTTAAGACAGACTGTAAGCTTATCAGAGTTAAAAGTCACTATTTGGATCAATAGCATGATGTCTTGCTTGACAAACTGTTGTTTAATTTGTGTGCTTGAACAGCACAGAACAGAAATACATCTGAATGAATTAATGTTTACATATTTTAAAAGGTTGGAAAACTGCATACTTTGTGATTCCTATTTAAATAATAACTTTTAAAAGAAATATTTCTTAAAAGGCTGTAAAATATTTGTGTTTTTTGGTGCAAAAGAAAAATGGTACACTGGCAAAAAAAATGTGGTTAATGTGTAAGAGCAACTTAAGGTAACAAAAGGTACCAATATTGCCAAGACATGCTACACTAAAACCTGTAGCACTCATTTGCATTCCTCTACGTACAAAGTACGTGAGATCTCCTTTGCCCAAGAAGCAAGACTAGTTTGAGTATGGATGAGTACTGACTTGCTGCAATTTACTGTTCTTTACATTCACAAGTGCTCAAACTGATAGTTCCTCCAAGTGACTGTTTTATTAATGGTTAGTTAGCTTCCCCACAGGTTTTTAATTCACAGTAACATCAACTTGAGATTACATTTACCTGCCCATAGCGACATAAATTTCTCTACATTTGATGACTAAATTGACAGTTCACATATCTTAGGACTTGCTCTTATTTCTGCAATACAGAATCCAACGTTGTTTCACTTCGTGTGACAGCAATGGTCATTTTTTCCTTTAAAGCTGCTTTTTG